CAAGTTGTTCAAGAAGCAGAACCTTTGTTTTCTGGTGCATATGAAGGCCTTTGTTTGTGCTCGTCAAGACTACTTTATCCCATATGGGAGCTCCCTATTATGGTGATTCGAGGACCGGCTGGTACTAATAAACGCGAGGATGGCGTAATTGTTTGCAGGCTTTCAGCTGGGGCCATGAAAATTCTTGAGAGTAAGATTCATTCTCTGGAAACATTTTTAAGATCTAGAAGGAACAAGAAAAGGGGCCTTTATGGTTATGTTGCTGGTCTTGGCGATTCTGGTTCCATACTCTACAAAACAGGGCCTATTATTGGTCCGGGAGGGCATAGCAATGGCAGGAGTCCATACAACTCCCAAATTCGAGATATGAACCCTGCAGACAAATCTGCATCAAATAAAAAGCCAAGGCTGCTTTATACATCAGCAGAACTAGCTGCTATGGAGGTAGGTGTTAGGAATTACTCAGCAGAATTAGAGCACATTTTAATTCTTTTTTTTTTTCACCTGAACACATTGGATTAACAGGTGAGGGCAATGGAGTGTCTTAGGCGGTTGCTTAGGAGATCTGGTGAAGCACTCTTTCTGCTTCAACTTATTTGCCAGCATAATGTTGCCCGTTTGGCTCAGACGCTGGGCAATGATTTATGCAAGAAATTAGTTCAGTTAACATTTCATCAATTGGTATGTTCGGAGGATGGTGATCAGCTTGCGATGCGTCTTATTTCTGCACTCATGGAGGTAATACAGTCACCCTCATGTTCCTTACTCTGCCAATATGAAAGCAGGGAAATCGCAAGTGCAACATGCACCTTCAGCATTCTCAACTGTTCCAGTTTAGGTCAGTAATTTTATATGATTTTTGCAGTACTATATTGGCCCGGAGGGCAGAGGAACTGTTGAAGAAATCAGTACTAAATTGAGGGAGGGTTGCCCTAGTTACTTCAATGAGTCAGACTACAAATATTACTTGGCAGTGGAATGCCTTGAGAGAGCATCTATGACTAATAACCCAGATGAGAGAGATATTCTTGCTAGAGATGCTTTCAACCTCTTGACTAAAATTCCAGACTCTGCTGATTTGAGTGCCATATGCAAGAGATTTGAGAACCTAAGGTTAGTGACTTCCTCTGATAACAAATACTGTATCTGGTCAGTCAAACATGTCTAACTTTGATCATCAGTATCTGAACTTCTATATGGATTGAAAACAGGTAACTTTACTAGATGGACTTATACTGTATCTGGTCATTATGAAGACTACTTTCAGAATCTATACCTCTTTTCGCTCAAGAGAATATATTTTTTTACAGTAGATATTACAATTAGGACAAAACTAGATGGACTTGTATTTGTGATAGGAGTGGAAGTACTGTATTGATTTGCAACCTAAAATCTATCAATCTTGATAATTTTATTTATTTTTTACATCTGTCAGCTGATATATTTATATATTTTTTTGTTGGGTGTGGGTTCAGATTTTACGAGGCTGTAGTCCGGTTGCCTCTGCAGAAAGCTCAAGCACTTGACTCCAATGCTGATGTTATCAATGGTCAAATTGATCCAAGGCATCATGATACCATAATGTTGCAGCGTGAACAATGCTATGAGATTGTTATGAATGCTCTGCGGACTCTCAAGGGTGTCGGGCATAGTCGAATGCAAAATGCAGACAAGTCATCTGGTCTAGCAACTGCTGTTGATCCAGCTTCTCGAAGCAAGTACATCAAACAAATTATCCAACTTAGTGTCCAATGGCCGGACACAGTTTTCCATGAGCATCTATACAGGACACTTATTGAGCTCGGTCTAGAAAATGAGCTTTTGGAGTATGGTGGTTCTGATTTGGTTTCTTTTCTGCAGAGTGCTGGTCGTAAGCATCAAGAAGAGGTGTGCCATAATCCTTGTTTTCCCACCAAAGTTGGAACTATGGATACGTAATTAGTATTTCATAAAAAAGGAAACCTTATCTGGCCTGTCACTGTGTTGGTGATATTATCCTATTTTGGCTTTTGCCCATTGACATACAATTAAATAATTTGGGCTGTTGGTTGATTTAATTCTGTTGTCCCAGAGGAATCCTAAGCACCTGCCATTGGTGTGCGTTTGTTGAAAATTACCATCATTTGTTGTGTAGTTGGCCTGGATTTTATGTGCTATACTCCTACTTCTTTATCATAACCTAATAACCTTATATGCTTATTACCCAGACAAGATCCCATAGCCCATGCATCTTGACAATACAGAAACAAAACTATCAGTATGTTTTCATGTGTTTTTTTCCCCACGTAAACAAAAGAGTTGCTGGATTTGATCAGGTTTGCCTATAGCATGCCTATCAAATACTCTGCTGATCTGAATTTTAATACCATGTACTGGTTGTAGCTGATAGGCGAGTTATTTTGCCACAAATATCTGAGAAGTGCTTCCTAGATACTGGCCATATGATTACATAAATGCCTTTCATGTCACTGTATCTTTCCAAGTCAGTATTGTTCATGCATCACTTTTAGTCTTTATCATGTTGTCTGAGACCGGGATGTTATTCCTGACTATCTATTTTTACCTGTATAAGGTTCGGTCAATTTCTTCAGTTGCATCTGGAGCTGCTAAGTTGCATGATTTAGGTGCACCTATCTCGACTAGTCAAACAAAGTATCTTGAGCTCCTAGCTAGGTACTATGTTCGCAAGGGGGAGCATATTGCTGCTGCCAGGATGTTGTTAATATTGGCAGAGCGACAGTGCTCCAATTCCGAAGAAGCTCCAACTCTTGACAAGAGGTCTCTGGATTTTGAACCCTTATTTTGTTTACTTTTATAAATTTCATAATTTATATTCATCATTTGTATGGACTAACAGTATAAATTTACTTTTGGAATCCAGGTATGAATATCTCAGAGATGCAGTGCTTCAGGCCAAAAGCGCGGGCATCGCTGCTGATTCGTCTAGAAATCCTATTGATAGTAGCACAGTGGATTTGCTTGAAGGCAAACTTGCCGTGCTACGCTTCCAAATGCAAATCAAACAAGAATTGGAGCTCATGGCTGCGCGGGTTGAAAATATTCCAAACAGTTCTGAATCACCTAGTGTTCCGTTCCGTAGGGACAACATTCTTGCTGATGCAGAGACTGCTAAGGCTGCTAAGGATAAGGCAAATGAACTATCATTGAATCTCAAGAGTATCACTCAACTGTATAATGATTATGCTGTTCCATTTGGTCTCTGGGAGGTATGTTTTTTCTTTGTTTCATAGAACTTACTCACTTGGTCTTGCTTTTGTCAATTTAATATGCTTTTGTCACTTGGTATGTTTATTCTTTGTTTCATAGAACTTACTCACTTGGTCTCTGGGAGGTATGTTTTTTCTTTGTTTCATAAATGTAAATGATAATTATATTCTCAAACTATGTATTAAGCTCTTCCATAAAACTCCAACTACTATGCATAATAGCAAAGCTTGTGGACATGCAACATTTTGAAAATATTGTTGAAATAAGAGATATAAGAGTCAGATGAAACTTGAAACAACAGGAATAATCACTTGTGGCGATAACGCTCCACCTAGGAGGCAAGCAGGATACTGAGTTTGACAGAAAATCAATAGGGAGATTCTGTGAGTTGGGATTGGTGGTACTCTGGGGACTGTTAGAAGTTAACTTCTCTCTCCGATAAACTTAATTTCGAAAGGATTTCCTTAGCTGTGGGACTTAGGTACCTAGTATGTATTCTTGTCCTTAATTATTATAGTATTGGGTGCATCAAACCCTGTTTACTTGTAACTCTACACAGTTAGGACAGAAGGTTTCTAAATTAACTCTACACAGTTAGAATCATAACTGGGGTCAGGATATGAATTCTCAGCATAATCGATCTCCTGAATCTAAGTTTTAGACAGTATTCGTTTGTTTGTTTTCGTTGATACTAGGAGTTCCCTGTATCTACCAAATCTTGCATCTATATTGGGTTATTAGCAAATGATTTCTCTTAAAAAGACTTGGATTTTTTTTGTTAGGTTTGCCTGGAAATGCTGAGCTTTGCTAATTACTCTGGAGATGCTGATAGCAAAATTGTTCGAGAAATTTGGGCTAGACTCCTTGATCAGGCACTTACAAAAGGTGGTGTTGCAGAAGCATGTTCTGTGGTGAAAAGAGTAGGCTCGAAACTTGATCCTGCAGATGGAGCTTGTTTACCTTTAGATATAATATGCCTTCATCTTGAGAAGGCTGCATTGGTAATGTGTATATTCTGTATTTTCTGTACATGCATACTTGAGACTAACTGTGAGAGCATTCCACTGTGGTACTCATATTATCCTGCTCTTATCTACAGGATAGATTAAGTTCAGGAGAAGAATTAGTTGGTGATGATGATGTTGCAAGAGCTCTTCTTGGTGCCTGTAAAGGTCTTCCTGAACCTGTACTTGCTGTGTATGATCAACTGTTATCTAACGGTGCAATCATACCCTCACTAAATCTGAAGTTGCGCCTGCTGCGATCAGTTCTTGCAATCCTCCGTGAGTGGGGGATATCTGTCGTTGCACATAGGCTAGGCACCACAAGTGCTGGGGCTTCATTCTTTCTTGATGGAACATTCTCACTTAACCAAACAGGGACTGCAAATCAAGGTGCTCGAGATAAAATAATTAGTTTGGCGAACAGGTAAGTCTAAACGTTAATGACATTTACATTTATGATTCTCTTTCATCTGGACTACTACTGTTTCATACAAATGTGCTCTTATCAATTGTTTGAACGCTGTTAAATCCTTAAAAAAATCATCGTATTGTTCCACTACTTGATTTACTTTTATTTTGCTATGTGAACCTTGCTACCACCTCACACATCTATTAGACCATTCTCTTACATTGTATTGCAATTTCAGGTACATGACTGAGGTGAAGCGATTAAACCTTCCACAGAACCAAACGGAGAATGTCTACCGCGGTTTCCGTGAACTTGAGGAGAAATTACTATCTCCTTATTAGGCAATTTTCAGTTGGTCCTCAAGATTGTAAAGGATGATCCTGCATCTGTTGTACCACAAACCAAGGAATAGAGTCGAAGGCTTCTGGATTCACCTCAGCATGATCTCTATTGTTCCTTACACGTATCTGCAAGAACCCAAGGCTGCTTTAATCATTATTAATCAGAGGTTATTCATGACAGTGTGCAGCCTTCTTTTATTTGACTTCGAGCCTGAATTACAGAGCTGCCGATGTGGAAAATTGTCTAGCTGTGTTCATTACTTGCTAATCTAGTGGTAGATGCTGCTGATCCCGTTTTACCTGAATTCGGGAAACAGCTGGAGAACTCAGGCCGGACTTTGAACCAGAACAAACATCTAGCTGTTGAATACAAGTTGGTTTTCATGTTGGAAATCGAAATTTAGTATGTACCATGACATTGTACAGTTCGATAGTAGATTATTCAGAGTGTTGTAAGCTTTGTAGCTTATTTGTTTGTTGGCATCAAGTTATCATTTCAGTAGCTGGAAAAGTAAACGTTTTTGTCAGAAATGTGGAATTCTAGGTCCTTTTTGTTCCATCTGCTTGGTTTTCGTTTTCCTCCTTTCCTTTTTGACGTTTTGCTGGGCCCGTGCGGAAATGACAGGTTGATTATAGATTAATGCTCGTGGATAGGATATTATCGGTTGGGTTAACTATACACAGTTCTCCAAAAGTGTGATGATGTCCAATATGGCATGGATGCAAACAACGTCAAGGCTATGCCCGACACTGTTGTGTAATGTGCTTCAATCAGATGGTCTGCACTTGAGTAGTGCCTGTGGTCTAAGGCTTGTTTTATTCGACTGCTAGTATAAGAATCATCTCCCCGAGCTTACCGTCTCGACAACTACTAGTATAAGAATCATCTACCCGAGCTTACCGTCGGTATTGGACACGTGATCAAGGAACTGAATTGGTGGACCATGCATGTTTATTGCAAGGAAAATTTAGCTTTGGAACACTGCGCTTTCGTGAAATTGGTCGTGGAACACAAGTATATTTTCTTCGCTGTAGAACACTCAATTCTTTGCTGTAGGACACTGCAGTGTACCTAGAGCAAATAAAAAAAGTACAGTGTCCTGCCACCAATTCCATGAATGTTGCAAAGGATGCAATGTCCTGCCGCCAATTCCATGAATGTTGCAAAGGTTAGCGTACTGCCGGGCTGCCTTTGTCAATTTCGCGGATTGTGGTGAGCACTCTTTAGTCTTTTATACAAATGGTTCGTGAAATCTGCAAACTGATTTACGCAAAATCAGCCTACTGGCTCAGTTCAAAGGATCCTTTGCTCCCTTTAGTGCAGAAGTCTGAGATTTGAAAGGCACATGCAGAGGGGAAACATAGCCTCTTCACCTGGCTGTTGATCCAGTCCAAGATCCTAACGGCGGACAGGTTGTCAGCAAGAAATTGGCGTTGCAATCCAGTTTGCCTTCTGTGTTCTTGCGCAGGAGGTTCGGCTGCATGTGTGGAATTGGGCTGGGGAGTGCTCGCCATGGAAAAAAACAATGACATGTTGTAATGTGATAAGCAAAATATTTACTTTGCTGATAAAACATGAGGAATGATGCCGGAAGTGTAATTGCAATTGGGCATACCTTAAAAGGCAGATTAAGAAAGGTCTTCCTGCAGAAAGTTGTTGCTGAAGCTGAAAAACATGTAGACAAAAATGAAGTACAATCTGCACATGTTGGAATCTCACAGATGACACAATGACTCTTTGGTCACTGTCAAACTTGAGAACACATCCAAGTGCCTGTTTGGATCAGCTAGGGCTAGTTTCTCGTTGGGGCTAAAAATTAGCCTAAATTAGCTAAAGTTGGCTAACAACTAGTTATAGGCTTGGCTAACAAATTAGCCCACCTGTTAGCCCCCTGTTTGGATATGCTAGGGCTAATTTTGGTTAATTCTTAGCACCTGACAATTATCTCTTGGTATCCAACAGGCCCTAAGGCAGATCTGATTTGCTTCCATCTTCAATGTGCATACCTTGACCCCTTGAAACTAACCATTTATCTACAAGTATCATGATATCTGACGAGATTCTTCCATCTTTAGACAGCTCCTTAGTTGCTTTATTTATTAAGCCTACCATTTTCAAATGATTACTGGGCACCACGTCTTTTTGGAGAACAACTTTCAAAAGCTCACATCCTTTACTGGCCTGTCCCTGTGCTATCAACGAATTTATTAAATTTAACAGGGAAAAAATATCCAAGTCAAAACCTTTCGTCTTCATCTCTTCATAGTAGTTCACTGCAGTCTCCATTTGACCACACTTGCACAGTCCATTAACAAAAGCAGTATATGCTATCTCATTTGGCGAACAACCTTTTTCCTCCATTTTGCACCACAAAACGATGGCTTCATCGGGCCTTCCAGCATTACAGAGTCCGTCTAACAAGCTTGTATATGTAACAACTGTTGGTGGCTTCTCTTCATCAATCATCTTATCTACGCAAGTGATTGCTTTGTCAATCCTGCCGGACTTGCACCAAATATCAATCATAAGATTGTAGGTAACTACAGAAGGAAACAGACCCTTACTCAACATTTCTTCCATGATTTCTTGCGCCTCATCAAACTTACCTGCTTTCCGGAATCCATTTATCAAGATATTGTGTGCTACCACATCAGGAAGATAACATTTGGAAGAAATGTCACGGAAAATCCCTAATGCATTTTCTGTCTCTCCAATTTTACACATCCCATTCATGGCAGCAGAGTACGTGACAATGTCAGGAAGAAAACCTAATTTTAACATTTCATCGAGAAATTGCAAGGCTTCTGTTATCCTGCCACTGAGACAAAGCTGTTGCACCATCTCTGTGCAGTTCTTAATCCATGGTTTGTGCGTGTTTGTCCGCATCTCCCTCAGCAGATCAGTGGCAGCACTAGTATCTTTTCTTCTACAAATACCATAAAACAATGAATTATATGTGAACTCAGAGGGTTTCAAACCAAGATCCTTCATTTGGTTGAATATCTCATATGCTTCATCTAGTCTATCCGAATTGCACAATTCAAGTATCAAATCATTAAACATCAAAAGCTTTCCCTTGCAACCAAGGCCAACCATGTCCTTTATGAGAGCCAAAGCCAGATCCAGCTTCTTAACCTTACAAAGGCCGCACACAACAATGTTAAACGAATCAGAGTTTGGTTTAACATCTTCACTGATAACAAAAATATGCACACCAACAGTATCATCGTCACTAATCCTCTGACCACCACGCACCATGGAGCTGAGCAACTGATATGCTGCTTCTACCTCTCCATGGTTAGTAAGACCTTCAAGAATCACATTATATAATAGGGCAGCACTGCCGGGTTTCAGATGCACTGCATTTTCATTAATGAATGGGCCAACAGTAGAGAATTCTCCTCGTCTACAGAATGTCTCAATCATCTTCTTGAGCAAGCGGACATCAGGTGTAACCCTGTCCCTCTTCATATCCTCAAACAATTTCACAGCCTTCCCCATCTCGTTTCCATCACACAGCCCCTCAATTAACACACTGTACATCGCCAAATCCACACTGAATCCATAACTGGCCATCTTACCAAACATATCCATGGCCACATCAACCCTCCCCTGCCTGGCAAACCCATGTACTAGAACGCTCAACGTCTTCTCGCTTGGTCGCATGCCAAGTGCCTCCATCCTCCCAATCAGCTCAACTGCATCCTCCACCTTTCCCCACTTGCTGAACGCCACAGCAAGCATAGTTAACACGTGCTCATCCACCCAGGCCTTCTCGCTCATTCTCTGTAACACGGCGCTCGCGTCTTCAGGACGCCCCGCGTTGCAATAGCAATTTAGGAGCGAGGTGAGCGTGTACCTGTCGACGCTCTCGTCACCGCAACTCGCCACCATCTCCTGCAACCGCGCCTCGGCGTCTTCTGCACGGCCGGCCTTGGCGAGCGCGTCGAGGAGGCAGTTGTACGTGTACGAGTTTGGGGTGCAGCTGAGCGTCGTCCTCGCTGCATCAAAAGCGCGGGCAGCGGTATCCGGGAGGCCAACCGCGCCGAGGCGGCGGAGGAGGAGCCCCAGCGCGCCGGGCGTCATGGAGCAGCGAGAGGCGAGCGCTTCGGTGGCGAGGCGGTCAAGGTGCGCGCGCTGGTGCGGTGGCAGGAGTGATGCCATGGCGTTGAGGGAATAGCAGGAGTGGCGGAAGCCCGGCTGCTCGGCGGCCCAGCGGAAGAAGTCGAGCGCGTGGCGCCAGGACGGCAGGCGGAGGATGACGGACTCCGCGGCTGGCGGCGTGAGGTACGCCGCGAGGCGGCGGAGGCGGGCCGCGTCACGGGTGGCGCGCGGGCGGGAGAATTCGTCGAGCAGGTGGTGCGCGAGGAAGCCCGGGGATGAGGGGGTGGGCGCGGCCGGCGGAGCGCCGGCGGCGGTGGTGGTGAAGGACTGGAGCAGGAATAGCGACGAGGGCGCGCGGCCGAGGCGGCCTAGAGACATGGGAATGGCCGGTGGCGAGCTTGACCGGGGCCTTGGGCGGAGTGGCGGCAGGAGGTTCCGGAGTCGACTGGGGGGACTGGGGCTGGTTTCGGGTTTGTGTTTGTCTGCGGAACTGGGCCCTGTTTAGTTACACCAAATTCCCAACTTTAGCATTATGCAAAAAAAAAAAAGATTTATTATCACATTAAACTTGTGGTACATGCATGGAGTACTAAATGTTGATGAAATCAGAAATTAATTGCACAGTTTGATGGTACTTTACGAGACGAACGTTTTGAACTTAATTAGTCAATGTTTGAACAATTATTATAAAATAAAAACGTTTAGATGGCTAATTAATTGCACAGTTTGCACAGTTTGGTGAAAAAAAAAACAGGTGTCCCCGGCGCTCTTTTTCCCCCTCCCATCATCAGTTTAGATGGCTTTGACTCTGAGGTTTCTGCCTCCGCTGCCTTCCCCGCCGCCGCCATGTCCTCCACCGCCGCCCGAGCCCTAACGTCCGTCTCCCGCGCAGCCTTCTCCTGGAAGCCGGTAAGTCAGCGACGCTCTAGTGTTTAAAAACAATTAAACATTTGTCTGAAACTATGGCAGACTAACCCTCCTCTGCCAGACGGGGCGCCCGCAGCAAACGCTGGCGGCGGCGGTGAGCAGGTCGGGCGTGGGGCTCCACTTGGGAGCGTGCGTCACCGCCACGCTGTTCCCGACGCAAGCTGGCGAGGGTAGGTATTTCCTCGTGGAGGGTGAGGAGGAGGCGAGGGTGGCGGCAGAGGTGAGGAACGCCGAGCCACGGTCGCAGCTCTGCACGACGCTTAGGCGAGGCGAAGGCGCCCACACGCGGGTCCGGACGGTGGAGCACCTTCTCTCGGCGATGGAGGCGCTTGGCGTCGACAACTGCCGTATCGAGCTTAGCGGCGGTGACGAGGTGCGCGGATGTTTGCTCATTTCTCACCTTTGTTTTAGTTCCCTACTTCCAATGTTAATACCTTAGGTGGGAAGGTGTTGAGTTATAGTTGTGTTTTCGATTTATGTGAAAGTGCTTAAGCAATGCCAGATTCCTTTGCTTGATGGATCAGCGCAAGAGTGGGTAGAAGCAATACAAAGCGTTGGCTTGTGTGCGGCAGAGGATGCCAATGGGCAAAAGTTGGATAAACTGGCGCCTGAAATTCATGAGCCTGTTTACCTACGGAGAGATGATTGCTTTATAGCTGCATTCCCTAGCTCGCAAATCCACATCACCTATGGCATTGATTTCCCAAAGGTATATTCATCTCTTCCTTTTGAAATAAGTAAAAAGCTAGTTCGTTATGGATATGAAACTGGATCATGTCTTATGGCCCAGTGATGCATTGTTTATAAAATTATCAATAACATTAGACCATTAGATATACACAAATAGGGTGGGTTCTTCGGTCACTATAAGTTTGAACACAGATAAATGTCACCCCAAATTGACTTTTTGGATCTGACTTTGCTCTGTGTTCATGTATGACATGATTTACTTGGAGCCCATTGCATCGTTTTGATATCCATGTTATGGCTGCCTTTTCAGTTTGCCAATGTTTTATGGCATAGGCCAAGGCAGGATGTGTCGCATCACCAATATATATCATACTCTGTTGCTCTTTTTTTTCCTCTCAAACATGCACGAGAGCTGTGTATCATACTCTATTCCTCATACAAATAATGTGTGCTAGAACATGAGAATTAAGGTTAAACATTTTTGTTTATGAGTTGTTTAGGCTTAGCTTTGTTCTTGCTAATGTTATGGCCATCAATTATTCTTTATGGAAGAAGGAAGAAGTACTAGTATACTATGGGGGTGTTTGGTTCTTTAGTGGCTCCTAAAATTCATGTCACATTGAATGTTTAGATACTAATAAGGAGCATTAAATATAGATTAATTACAAAACCAATTACATAGATGGAGGCTAATTTCCGCGACGAATTTTTAAGCCTAATTAATCTGTCATTAGCACATGTTTACTGTAGCACCACGTTGTTAAATCATGGACTAATTAGGCTTAAAAGATTCGTCTCGTAAATTAGTCGCAAGTTGTGCAATTAGTTTCATAATTAGTCTATATTTAATACTCCATGCATGTGTCCAAACTTTCGATGTGACAGGAATTTTAGGAGGTGGCTAAAGAACCAAACAAGCCCTATCTTTCTTGTTTGTTAGTAAAATGTCCATGCATTGGTTCAGTCTGATACCTTGTGTTGTGCTTACTATATGACATCTGCTATCATATTTTCTAACTTCTAACTGCTTTTGGACTACTATAATGTTGAAAAAGTTTCAGACTTGTATGTAACTTGAGCAAAGTGTGCATCTATTGCAGGTGCCAACGATTGGGTGTCAATGGGTTTCTACATACCTGGATGATAATATATACTCAAGCAAGATTGCGCCTGCAAGAACTTTCTGTATATTTGAAGAGGTTTACTCATACATCTAGCATATGTTTTTCATCACTTCTGTCTCCTTTTGGTAATATGCATTTGTATTCTCTCTCTTATAAGATTACATTACCTGCTATTATCCTGTATTTACAACTGTTTGGGTTCGCATTTACATGTATACTTGAGAAACCTCCTTATGTAGGACTAAGTTACTTACCTAGCACATGGTTAATGCTAATTTACTTTGTCATGAACTGATGATTTTGTGATACATGACTTTATATTCATTTTCATCTTCTAGCGTACTCTATAACAATTGCATTATTCTTGCTTGGATAAGGACTTAAAAGTACTCCCTCCAGGCAGCTTTCTAAGACGCTATCGCGTTTTTCTGAAAGGCCGCTATGTAAGACGCGCTGTCATTCCAAGTACTGGCGATTTGACACAAGCACTGTTTTTGAAGCGATCATTGCATGCGACCTTGACACTATTTGAGTCCTCGACCAATACAAAAACGCCGGCTGGCTACATTCTACTTTTCACGAAGCGTCACTGCAACCGCATGCACACTATGGAATCAAATCCAATAAATACGAGCACTTTGGCACAGCATCACGGGCTTGGATTAATTCCTCCTTCGTATCGGATTAATTCCTCCTTCGTATCTGGAATCCATCTCCTGGCGCCTTAGAAAACGGCCCAGAGGGAGTACGTCCTATGTTGTCCTCCCAAGTTTGCTGCCTTTGTCCTGTGTACCTTTTCTTTTCCTTGGAAGGTTCCAGAATTATTTGTTATAACTTTCTCACAATTTTCTGTCCCTGTAGCACTGCTTTACTTCTTTTTTCTCCTGTTATTTTTGAGAGGTTGCAAGATCCTTTGTTATGGGGATCTGTATTAATATTTTTTCTTTTGTTAAAAGACATTTTTTGGTCATGAATCACACATACATAGTGACTCACTTCTGCTTGCTGCATTTTTGAGTTCAACAGGTTGAAGAAATGCGTGCTGCTGGACTCATCAAAGGAGGGTCACTAGAAAATGCTATGGTTTGCAGGTGAAGAGCAATATGCTGGAAAATGTTGCTTGTTTATTTAACGTTGTGTAGAACTGCCTATTAGAGGTATCCTAGTTGGCCAATTTATTGAAGGTTTATATTCTTCTGGATCTGTTGTCATGTTGTGAATACAAGACAATCCACAGTTCAGACTTATTTCAATATCCGTAGTGCAACTACAACATTAACCTTTTGTTGGTTTATTTCTTAAATATTTTATGTTAAAAATGGTTTCATGAGTGACAACCCAGATGAAATTTGTTATTAGAGTCAGTAGTTATCTTTTGTATCAAATAGTTAATAATTTAATATGAACAGGTACTCTGAACTTTGAGTAAAGTTTATTTTAGTAGGAGCTTTTTATCTGTACTTCCAAGATAACTACTATGCGGTGAATACCATCTTTTGCCTTGACTAGTTTAATATGAATACGTACTGCTGTTACATAAATCGCTTATTTATAAAGTCATCAACATCAAGTCAGCTAGTAGTTGACCATCCAGTGGTTTGCAGTGTGCCACGTAGTTCAACCAGCAGGACCATTGGGACTGTTGCTTCTCTTATTCCTTCCTTTCAAAACTTTGCGCCTTGATGATGTTGCGACTTATGGGCTGGGAATGAAACTGTTGCATTATTTGGATTATGTATTTTCTCTCAACTATATCAGATAATCGTATACTGCTTATTTGGTAATTTGACAGCATATCTGGTGGTTGGCTGAATCCACCACTGCGGTTCGAGGATGAACCTTGCCGCCACAAGATTTTAGATCTTATTGGTGACTTCTCGCTGTTTGCACAGAACGGTAACCAGGGTTTTCCAATTGCTCATATAATTGCCTATAAGGTACCTTCTTTATTCAACTTACTACTGTCTTGTTATGTGTGTGATAAGTTAACAACTGCCCCATAAGTCATAAGTTCCTTTCCTTTACTTAAAATAAAATCATAGAAGAGTCACCTCTTTAAATTCCAGGTTCATGCTCTTCTTTTGACTAGTTAGGTCAAGTACATTGCTATATGTTAGCATCTCATACTCCGTCTCATGCAGTGCCACGTAGGATTTTTACTGATAAGAGGTCGTTGTTTCGCGAAACCACCTCATGAGCGAAATGTTATATTATGAGACAACTATTGTACCATTGTATGAATTGTGATCATGTAACTCACAACTTTACTTTTATTGTGTGCATAAATTAAGGAATTGTGAGTTAGCGTGAGATATCTTTTTCATTGCATATATTGTCTATTAAGTCGTCTTAAAATTACGTGGCACTACATGAGACCGCCTATGAGACAACACCAATGTATTTGCCTTTAGTCCTTGTAACTTCTGCATTTTTGTTTCATTATTTTTATTTTGGATCCTACGTGTTCACCGTTTTTTAAATTACTGCTCAGTCAAACTGTTGGTTTTTGTTTACTGATACATATCTTCTTGATCATGTGATAACTAATTGTCGATGTTTCGAGTTACCAACTAGTAAATTTTTAGTATTGCGCGTCTGGTTCGGATGGTGTGCTTAGAGGACACGAGGTTTATACTGGTTCGGGCAGAAAGTCCCTACGTCCAGTTCGTCGCTGCTGCTCGTGTTACTAGCACTAAAAGTTTATAGTAGGGGTTACAAACGAGTGAGAGAGAGAGGTCACAAGTCTCTGATGTGTGTGTGCTCCTAAGACGTGTTAGGGCGTGTGTTTTGATGTCTACAACCGTGTAGAGTAGTGAACCGCCCTCCCCTCTCCTGGGGCATCCTGCTTCCCCTTTTATAGACGAAGGAGAAGAGCAGGTTACACAGAGAGAAAGAGGGAGAAGAGCCAAGGAGAGGAAGGCTTCTAGGACCGTCGGGCCTTTCTTCTCCTTTATGCGGGTCCCGCCGACACTTCAGATGGTGACAGGGACGGCTCTACGCCGAGCGCCTGTTCGTCGCTGATGCCACGCCCCGGTGTTGTCAGCGGATCGTGACACCCCATTCCGTCTCGGCGGGCGACGTGGCGAACCAGCGTGCTGATCAGCGGCCGTACAGGGAGTAGGCAGCATAGTGACCACGCGTCCGTCACTCTTGGTGATGTGAGTTCCCTGGAGTAACATGTCGCGGGCACGGGTCATGTTGAGATGTGCCCGCTCCCTGCACGATGCCAGAAGTTTGACCTTGGGTTGAACTTTCTGGCTCGTTGTGGTTGGCGGCGGTACGGGCTTCCGTCCGAAGCCGCGCCTGAGGGGTCGGGCGAGACGGAGTCCCCGACCCAGAGGCTGGGCGAGGCAGAGCCCCCGACCCAGAGGTCGGGTGAGCCGGGGCCCCTGACCCAGAGGTCGGGCGAGGAGGAGCCCGCGCACCTGTAGGTCGGTTGGAGCTGTAGTCGCGCTCTTGACTGTTCGGATGAATCAACGTTGATGACCATTAGTTCCTCCTCTTCGGCTACCCTAGTATTGGTCCCTGACAGTAGCCCCTGAGCCTGCGGAGGAGTAGAATACTCCTTCGAAGACTTTTTCGAACGGGAGGACTCTGAGGGCCTTGGCCTTCTTTCGTCGCCCACGGCGTGTCTTGGGGACGACGATTCCCTTTCGTCGCGATTGAAACCCTCGAGAGTATAGCCATGAGATTTGGTGGGTCCGAAAAGGTCTTTCCTGATTCCGACCCCTACGGGGGTCTGTCGTTTTGTGACCGCGTGTTCGGTCTCCTTGCGAGTCCAACTTTCTTTGAGCCCCCACCCGTAGCAGGGGTCCGGTCGAGGGTCAGCTCGTCTTTATGATCGTCTTCCCTCAAACGTTTTTTTCGATAAAAACAAAGGGGCTGAGCCGTGCCATGATTTTCCTTTATGGACGAATCATGGTGCTCGGTGAGCTGTTAACGAGCTAGTCCGAGTGGGGCCCTGGCATCCCGTTCGCGGGGGTCCGGCTTGGGTCAGCTGGTGACCGACTCCAGATTCTCAACGGTCAATCCATAAAGTTCTCGGGTCCGTTCGACCGGTCTCGAGGGCTCTCTACCTTTCTTCGAGGAAAAACCATGGATCGTATCCGGCCGAGACTCGAACGTGGATGAGATGCCCGCGGCGCTCGTGCGCCCGGGTACTGGCCGCTAGCGGGCCCATCCCTTTCCACCCCTCACTCTAAAGGTGCCTGGAGCGGTTGTCGAACCCGTCGGTGGGCCAACCTTCGAACTCCTGGGCCTAGGCGGGGCGTAGGAGCGTTTTCAGCTCTGTATCCCTCTTACCTGTGACATGTCGTGGCCCTTTCGGGGAGGCGAAACATCCGGCGCGTTTTTTGAGGGGACGGCCATAGGTTGCGTGCGCACGTCCCGCGACGAGACGTGGTGACAGATCGTGGTAGGCACGGAGATCTAGGCGAGCGGTTGGTTTCCTCGCACCCGTCGCCCCTCCACAGCCACGCCAACGCTTAGGTTTCCTGCATTCGCATCTCTGCCGTCGTTGAGCTCGCATCCATCCGCCCCACCTCCAATGGATCCGTGGTGTCGTTCCGACATCACCTTCGAGCGCATGGAGGGCATCGTCCATCGCGGTCTTCTCCGCGCGTGGACCTCGGTCGAGGAGTGGTTGCTACCTGGCAATGAGGATTCGCCGTCGCCGCCCGACGGCTACGTGGTGTCGTCCGCCCACTTCCACTAGCGTGGGCTCGTGATCCCTGCCCACAAATTCCTTCGGGGGCTGCTGCACTTCTACAAGATTGAGCTATAGCATCTCAATCCCAACGGGATCCAGCACATGGCAGCGTTCGTCGCGCTGTGCGAAGGATCCCTGGGGATCAGCTCCCACTTTGACTTGTGGAGGTATTTCTTCGCCGTCAACCTCCAGAAGAAGAGGGAGAAGGGCGGCAGGCAGGAGCTGCACATGCCGATGGGGTGCGCCAGCATCCAACTTCGGAACAATCGGGTCGACGAGTACCCGTCCATGCGGCTCTCGACGTCTAACAAGGGATGACACTCGCAGTGGTTCTACCTCAAGAATGACGCCGCCGCCCCTCTGCCGGAGTTCACCGGGCGCCTGATCGAAGGGGCCCCGGAGCAGTGGAGGAAGTGGGGCGTCTCGGAGAATGACAGGAAGAAGATTCGAGACCACATCGTCGCCATCTACATCCTGAAGGAGAACGGCCTGAAAGGGTCGGGCGTCATTGGGGCTTACCACGCGATGAGGGTGGCGCCGCAGATGACGCGCGCGCTCCCGTTATACGCGATGGCGTCCGAGGCGTCATTCGACGGAACGGCGCTCGCCGAGGGAACGCTCCCCAACTCTGAGATCACGCAACGCATCAAGGAGGCGATGGAGCCTTTGCGGGACAACGCGGGTGCCGCCCTCGACTTCGTCTACCCGGTGTTGGGGCATCCTTCGATGCGGTCGGAGCCAGGCTACGTTGTCTTCGTAAGTTTCCCTTTCTCTTGCCTTCTCTTCAATTGATTTCCTGACCCCGTGAGACTAAATTTGAGAGGGGCGGGACCAGCCGAGGGACCTCATCCTCACGGATCACCCGGCGCCGCTGCCGAGGGATTCGGCTGTGAGGGCGGCGAATCGCGCCGAGGGCGAGCGGCTAAGGAAGGCGAAGGAGGACAAGAAGAGGAAGAAGCAGCGGAAGCTACGGGCGTCGAAACGGGGGGAGGACACTGACAACGATGATGATGGTGACGATGGTGACGACTACGAGGTGATGGGGGAAGAAGAAACGGTAGCCGACGATATCGAGTGGGACAACCTGGAGAACGAGGATGCGCTGACAGGAATCGGTTCGTCCTTGTAGGCGTCGGGACCCTTCCCGTTCCATGGAGGGGAGGGTACGTCTGGGGAGCCGGTGGAGGCGGGCCGTTCTTATGCCCCCCTAGGAACCGACGGTGGCGGGATGTACCGCCGGCCTGCCCCAGGAGCCAACAGAGGCGGGCGGCTCTGCCATCGCGCCCGAGGTGCCAGCGGAGGCGGGTGGCTCCGCCGTCGCGCCCCAAGAGCCAAGGGGAGCGGGGCGTTCCACCAATGTGCCCCAAGAGCTGCCAGGGGCGAGCCCCTCTGCCCAGGAGCAGGGGGCAGGCTCAAAACAGCCTTGTTCGGACGAGGCGGAGCAAGGGTCGGGGGGTTCGTCCCCCAAACGCATCTGTCGCCCGACGGCGCTGAGGTGAGTTATCAATTTCTCTGTTTTTTCCTGTTTTAGTCGGATTTCATCGTGACTTCTGTTTTTCGTCCCTTCCAGCGTCGGCAGACAGCGGAATCCTTTGGCGCTGACACCAAAGAAGAGCATCGCCCTCCAATCGTGGCGGCGGCCGTCGGCTGTTGTCGCGCCCGTTTCAGGCGGGAGCGGCGTCAGTGTGACCGCATCGCCAGCCGGTCAGGCGTCGCCCACGGTGGCGCCTGTGCCCTCGGCGGAACAGGCGAACGTGGGTGTTTAAGAGGCGCCTTTGGAGGTCGCGAAGCAGCCGGTGACGGTCGCGATACCGCTGCTGACGGCGGGGCGGACGGGGCTGCCGACCGCGCTCGTGGTGCCGATCGTGGCGGGCGCGACGCAGCCGGTAGTGACCCTGCCGACGCAGGTGGAGGTGGCGGCGGCCATGACAGATGGGTCACAGCCGGGCGCAACTGCAGCGTCGCCTGAGGCATCGGCGTGACCCGTGCCATCGGCGGCCCAAGCGACGGCGCGGGTCGGACGGAGGGGGACGCGACCGAGGGGTCCTCGGGAGTCGTGGTGCTGGGAGAGAGGTTCACGTTCTTACCGCCGACCCCTTCCGTCGCCGGAGGGGGCGTCCCGGCAGGTATGTCGCGGCGAGAGGGGTCGGCGGCGCTTGGGGCCGGCGGGGAGTTGTCCCTGACCCTGACGTCGGTGGACAGCGGCTCGCCCGCGCGGGGCAAGCCCCTGCTCCAGTGGACGGATCCACAAGATCCGGCGTCGACGCTTTTTACCCTTGACGACGCCGAAGAGAG